GTATGCTGTTTCCTGTACTGAAAAGGTGAATTATTTGCCCATACTATCATGAATTAAAAAAAAATTGTAATGGTAATATCCAGGAAGAGCCTGAGGAATTAAAGGCTGAAACTTCAAGACTCCTCCCCAGACCCCGCTCTTAAAGGCAGAAGAGAAGAAGGCCTCATTGATAAAGCAATTAATTGACAGCAATGAGGCCTGAAGACTGTGCCCCATTAGCCCCATCTTACTTGACCCCAATGATTTTTCCACCTGTTTTGGGGTTCTGAGGCAGAAGCAGAATCAGAGACAGAAGCAGAGGCAGGTAACAGGCAGAACTTCTTAGGTTGCCAAAAAGAAAAAAAACCTGGTGACACTTAAAACTGCCCTAATAAACCAAGAGTTCTCAAAGGCGGTAACTATGGCTTTTAAAGGAGCTTTACTGGCAGGAAATCTTGAGCCTGGGACAAGGGGGTTGGGGTGGCTTTGTGCCTGTACCCTGACCCAGGGGGCTGCTAAGGGATCAGAGCTTCCAGCAGGGAACTCCCTACAATAACCTTCGGAGGTGGCCCAGGAAACATGCACAAAGAAAATGTCATCAACAGGCTGAACCTGGGGATGCTTCGAAATAAGTTAGTTGCCCAGGCAGGTGAATCACTGAGCAGCAAATCTGAGCCCTGGAGATGGGAGCGCAGCTGGACCCACGGGGCAGAGAGGAGGTGCTCTGCGGCTATGGATGGAAAACTGTACCACGTTTGGCAAAAGCATCGTCTGAACTCAACTCAGGAGCAAGGGTGCTGTGCGTGCTGGGAGCAGAGCTGGACACTGACTTCGCTGTCTACCAAGGAGAGCGCCCTCTCTCTCGGAACTGTATCCTACCCCTTCTCGAGGGAACTTTCGTCTTGCCAGTGCAAGCAAGTGGGTGCTGTTAGTCGTGGGATTCTATCCCCTCAGTTATACCAGTCAGAGTCCTGCCCCAGAATCTACGCTGTTGGAAGTGAGAGAAGAAGGAACTCTTTTGGATGACAGCACTGAACACGTGCTTTCTAGTGCTGCTAATAATCACGTATCTGGCCACGTGCGTCCCCTTTTCAAAGAATAAAGCGGAGGGGCGTCCCCAAGATGATGGAGTAGGGAGCTCCTGAGCTCACCTCCTCCCACCGGCACACAAAATTACAACCATTTATGAAAAAGACTGGGGCCTACCAGGAAAGATCTTCTACAACTGAAGATATGAGGAATGAACCCCAATGAGATGAGTTTGAGGGGCACAGCCCCTGCAGGGCCAAGAAGGAGACCCGGGTGGGCGACCCACAAACAGCAGAGTCACTACAATGACAGAGGTTCTCCGCAAGGAATGAGGGGCCCGAGCCCCGCATCGGGCTCTCAGCCACCAGGAACAGGAGCCCCAGAGCATCTGGTCTTGAAGGCCAGTGGGGTTGCATACAGGAGACCCAGAGGGCTAGGGGAAAGAGACTCCTCCTC